TTAGTAAGAAGCTGTATCGATATTTGCTTATAGTCGCTAATATCTTCTTACGCTTCGGCGAAGTAAAGCCATTAGAGGATAAGGAGACCGAGACTATATATATAGTACTAGATAAGGTCTTTAATGCTTCTACGGACCCTATAGTAGCATTCTATAACCCCGGCACTAAGTTTGTAATAGTAATAGAGCACCTTTAGTAGGATAGAGGCATCTACGCAATGCTAGGGCCTATAGGAAGTAAGCGACTTACTAGCTCCGTAGAAATATTAAACCGAGTTATTCGTCGATTACTTAAGCGCAACAACAATAGTTACCTAATAGACCTAAATAGACACCCGATTAAGCAACTTAGCGGCTAGGTTATAGATGCTATTAAGGCAGTAAGGCATGCTAATTATAGGCATATCGAGGGCATCGGATATTTACCTATAGAGATTAAGTTAGGCCTCCGACCGGAAGAGCTTAGCGACAAGGCCGATCTCTATCCTTCCGTACGACGATAGGAATTAATTAACGTATTAGAAGGCGTTAAAGAAGCTAATATAGCAATAGTTGATTTAATTAACAATAAGCCCGAAATCGACGTTAACGCTACTACTACGAGTTAATAGCTAAAGGTGCTATATACTAGCCTCTTTAATATACTAGAATACCTTACAACCCGGTATCGCGTGCACTCGGAAGTGCGCCGCCGTAGCAAGGCAGCATTAGCTAAGCGTATTAGGCGTCTTTATCGGTTTATAAACACACATCCTATAATTAGGCCTAGTAATCTTGTCCTTCTTAAGAATTAGTTAATCCGTTAAAAGAGTTAGCAACTACCCTAGACTAGCCTCTTCCGTATTAAACAATTAAGCGATAATATAGACAATGCCTTCGAGCTATAGACTATTAATAGAACTAAGTTACTATAGGGCCTACATTATCGTAAGCATTTGTAGAAGTTTACGCCTAGAAGTAGACATCTAGCAAAATAGCAGATCGATATACTAGAAGGGCTTCCGTAGCCGCGTATACTGTACCTAAAGAAGGCTATAAGGAAGGTAGAAGTATATTACCGATTCAACCTACGCAATAATACTTAGTAACTAACGATCGAGCGATACCCCCGACACCTCCGCAATAGTTACCTATTACCTATATCGACCGACTTTCCTAGCGTACGACTTTACGCGCTCTACAACTTATTACCTACACTCGCTTACTAAGCATTAATACAAGAGCATAGACATATAGGTTAACTTAGAGTTATAGTTAGAGATACAGATTAGACATAGTAACTAGCATATTACTAGCGTAAGAGACTAATTTGTATAATACCCTAGGGACTAATTAGTATATAAACAATCTTCTTTTATATAATCTACCGTTATAACGGGTAGGATATTAGACAAGGCAATAGCGACACTATATCGCAGGCTCTGCGACTTGTAGTTAGGGGAGTAGTTAGAGAGTTAGAGCCTAAGGCATCGACAAAGCGGACTTAGCATGCTACGAGAGCCCCCTTCCGTACTTAGAACTTCTACCTCCCTACGTATCTATCGAATACACAGTTGCTATTACACTTCCACTACTAGCTTATATTAGTGTAATGCTATATATACTAGCTTATAAGCCTTGTAACTGCGTAATGCTATATATGCTAGCTTTGTATATAGTACTACTGCTAAGTAAACTAATAGTGCTATTATTATAGTACCTAGTAATAAAGTAGCCGCTCTATTAGCTATATAAGCGACTATTGTTATTGTTGCTAGTACTAGTAGTATTACTAAGTAGCCTATCGTTGTTATTACTTATATAATGCTGCCTACTAGCGGCTATAGTAAGCTTATTATCTCGCTCGCTCTTCTTCCGCTTATAGTCGTTATTGTTTATAAGTACGTAGGTGTTTAACCTCTCGGCGGAGCGTATCTAGCTTAGAAGGTAGCTCTAGAGCTACTAGAAGTAAAGACTCGATATACAGATTATAGTACTCGAAGCTACTTAGATAGTAAGTAGAGCTACAAGTACGATTAGCCTTCTAGTAAGGGCACTATTAAGTACGGTATTAGCTCTTTATATACTTACAGTACTCGGCAACTATCGTACGAAGCTATATAAGAGACACGCCTAGCTCTAAGGTAAAGTCTACGGTCCTTACTATCGCTATCTTCTGCTTCTTAGCTACTATAGTATAGTTTAAATCGTCGAGTTCTCGAGCTGTTACTATACGCTTAGTTAAATACAACGTTACTCCGCTAGTAAGAGGTTTACGGTTGCTATATACTACTTATAGCTCTCGGAGCCGTACTAGCAGTCGATTAACCTCCTACTTCCGTACTAGTAAGAAGTCGATAAACTAGTAGACGTAGAAGTAATATAGCAATAGTAGAGCGCGCTTTCTACCTATTTCTATTAGCTTTATTATCTCGTAAAGGCACGGATAGCTATAGGTCTTCGTTAGGTAATCGTTATAGCGGTACTATAGATAGGAGCAAGAATAAGCCGAGTACTTTATCTTATTGCCGTTATCGTCCGTTGTAGTGTTTAGAAGGGTAATAGCGCGCTCGTAGACCTTATAAACCTCGAGAAGGCAGTAGTTGCTAATAATACGAGAGATACTCGCAAAGAAGGGCTCTACTAATAGCTTATAGTAGCGCTTTAGGTTGTTAGCTAACTAGACTCTACGGCGGTCGTATCCTTAGTGCTACTAGTTAAGAAGCGACTTAAAGAGTAAGTAGATATCGTATCGGCTACTATAGTTAAGCTACTATTTAATCCGACCGTAGTATACTTCTATACGAGATATAACCTTCTCGCCGAAGTAAAGGACTTAGTTAGTCTAGTAGTAGACGATCTTCTCCTTATGTTTCTACTAGTTATTATATAGATATTACTTAAATTAGGGATATACGTTATCTAGTTTGCTAACGTTGCTATTAAACTCCTCTTCTAACTAACTTCTTATAGTATATATAAACAACTATAAGAACTTATTAGTACTTAGACTATTAGTCTATAAGCTATTAGCCTTAATCTATACAAAGTCGCCTCGTTCTTTCTAAACACGAGTAAGAATATCCTATTATAGGTACTAGTTATATATAATAACAAGCGCTTTAGGAATAACCTTCTTAACGGCGTAGATAAGCGCTTCTTCTCGATCCGTACTTATAACGTAAGGTATTAGATAACCGGCTTCTTCGAGACCTTTCCGTAGTAACTATAATAGCCGGATAAAGTCCTTCTTATTAGGCTTCGGTCTAATTAGACTAACGCCGAGCTTAATAGTATTATTTATCGGTCTAGTAGCGACAATATCTAGTAGCTCGAGGTTATATAGATTAGTAGAATACGTAGTATCGAGAACGAGTATATAAGGCGTATTCTTAAAGGCTAAGAGCGATATAGGATAGAGGGCAACTATAGACTTAATTAAGCTATTACTATTAGATTAAATGTCGTAGAAGATACTATTCTTATCTAGCAAGTCGATAGTCCGCTAAGCCTAGTTATACTCCCTTCGAGTATTAATACTACGTCCCTAGGCGAGGTTCTTTATATTGTATAGCCGTAATAGAACGCTACGGCCGCGGAAGTATACTATAATCTTAGACGTAGCTATTCGAGACTGCTAAAGCCGCTTTAACTCCTCGAGAAACTAAGTCGTACGAGAGTGTTATCGGTAAGTCGCTAGTACTATAATATTATTAGGTCCGTAGTTATAGCGATAGTAATCTCGGTCGCTAGAGTAACGAATTTCCTACTAACCTTCTAGTTATAGAGGGTCGATTATAATAGCGTAGAAGTAGAATTTATATTCTATTTTCTTCGAGTATAACTTCGACTTGCCTTTATTCTAGGTCCTTTTATCTAGTTAGCTAAAGCAGCTATATATATAGTAGTATCTATATTTAGCGCTGTTCTTATTCTTCCTTAGCTTCTACTCCTTAAACTTGTATCCGTATTACGCGCTAAATTCGTAGATATAGCGCTCGAGTGCCTATTTTAAAAGAAAGTCGTTTTCTCGTAGTATTAGACCTCGAGGTCGCTCTACTAATACTACCTTTAAGAATAGCGCCTTCTATAGCCGCGGCGATACCGACGCGTACGATAATAGATACTCTAGCCTTATATACGGCGCGTCGACTAATCGACTATATATACGACCTCTTAGTACTTCTACTACCTGTTCTGTCTCTTCTATTACTAAATCTACTACCTCTGCCTCCGATTCTACTACCTCTGCCTCCGATTCTACTACCTCCGCTACTACTACCTCCGCTACTACTACCTCTACTACTACTATCTCTATAGCGCCGCCGGCGGTAGCGGCGATACTATCGTTAGTAAGAAAGTTATCGATATAAGCCTCGTATAATAGAGATTTAGCTATTTTCGATAGTTACTAGGCAATCTACTACAAAAGTAGGAAGAAATACGAATTATACGAATATAGACTCGAAGGCGCGACTTCCTAGGTAGCGCGCCTACGCGCCTATTAATAATACTAACTAGGAATAGAAACAGCCTATATTAGGCGGAAAGAGTACGTAATTTGATACAGAGGCGATTCTACAGTGGTGCTAGTATAGGGATATGCTAGGGCTCGGGCGGGTAGCTAGGGCTCGGGGAATCCTCGAGGGTTGGCACTGCGCAAGACCAGCGATAAGGATGAGCTTCGTCGCAATATTCTATGGCAGGTGCGGTCAATGGCTGGCTTGCAAAATGGTGCGTAGTGGTGACATCCTGGGGTGTAGAGCGGACGATGTTCGTAGCATGAGCCGATGTAGACGATAGCAGTGAGTGGTAGTGGTAGTAGGGAGGAGCACTCTGATCGACATTTTGGGTGGCCATCAGCCATGCACCAGGATGGCCAGCTGATGTCGGGCGCAAGGTTCGCTGAGCCAAGGCCGACGCCAAACCGCCGAGAATCGATCGATCGGTTGAGTGCAGTGAGAGAGAGTTCTCCGGAGAGCGACAGACGGCGACGGTGACGGTGACGCAGCAATCGCCTTCCCGCACTGCGCACTGCGCACTGCGCACTGCTCCTGACACTCCCTCCCTTCGAATCACAGTACAAAGAGAGCTACGCCACTGCCCGCCCTCTGCTCGCAGCCCGCCATCATCGTCCTCCTGGAGATACACACAAAGAAAGCCGCCAACCGATCTGCACCAGCACACCGAAAGCCTAAATTCTAGAATCGAAGGCAAAGGATACTATGGCCGGCGGTACGTACGTCGTGACTCCGCTGTCACCACTCCATCTTTTCCCCAGGCGAAATGCTGCCCTCGCCCACACCTTCCCACCACATTGATGGCCTCGGTGCCTGCAGCATGGCCAACTGCCACGCGAGTCACACTGCCTGCTGCTGCTGCTGCTGCTGCCCGCTTACGTCGGCCTCCGTCATTGTCGCGCACAACAACACCACCTCTCCCTGCTGCTGCCCGAAACCTTCACCGCACTGCACCCAAGCGCACTCCCTTTTACATACGAGATGGTACTTGCACACTGCGACCGACCCCCCCAAAACATTCATCTTGCACACTCCTTCGAAAAGCCGAAACTAACCATGTGACCTTGCTCCCACAGAAGACGCATACCACCACTGCCTCGACTGCAACAAAAAATGGGCCCAAGAAGTCCAACAAAAAGAACCAAACTTCTTCCCCACCCAAGCCAAAGGCCAAGCTCCTCCCATCCTCTGGCTAGGCTGTGCCGACTCGCGAGTCCCCGAAACCACAATCCTGAACTGCAAGCCCGGCGATGTCTTCACCCACCGTAACATCGCCAACATCATCAACCCAACCGACATCTCCCTCCGCTCCATCGTCCAATTCTCCGTCTTCCACCTCAAAGTAAAATACATCGTCGTCTGCGGCCACACCCAATGCGGAGGCGTCGCAGCCTCCCTCGCGAATTCCAAATTAGACATCTTGGACATTTGGCTCGAGCCTCTTCGCACGCTTCGAGAAAAGTATGCCGACGAGTTGGAGGCTATGGACGAGAAGGAGAGGGGTTTGTTTCTGGCCAAGAAGAACGTCCAGAATGGCGTGGAACATCTCAAGAGGTTCCCTGTCGTTATTGATGCGATGAGGGAGAGGGGTTTGGAGGTGCATGGGTGTATTTATCATTTGGAGAAGGGCGAGTTGGAGGAGATTGATGAGCCTGAGGATGAGAAGGTTGCCGATAAGAGGGTGAGGGTTTTTGAGAGGAAGTAGCGTGTCGGCTTCTTTCATGAGTGATGATCGGTCCTGGGCAGTTGCATGTGCTATGTTGAGCATTTAGTAGCAGGGTATGTATGCATGGATGGGTGGGTGGCACTGAACCTGTGTGTGGAGAGTTGCTCTTTCGATAGATTGAGATATGATCGCTGAAACGCAGTAGCATTATTACCATGATGCCCATACCACCACATCCATCCTAAAATTCAACCTCCAGCCTGCGCCCGTGCTCTCGGATCATTCTCCGCCCACCCCATCTTCTCCCGATCATCATCACACAACCTCGCAAACTCCAACAACAACCGAAAGACATACACACTCATATCCTCTTTCCTCAACACCTTCTCCGCCCAACTCTTCCCCTCCAAAGCAATCTCCCTCGCCACATCATCATGCCCTTCCAACCCCATCTTCTGATTCCCCACAAAAAACTCCATAATCCCATAGATATCGATAAAAGTATTATCCATGGGCACGAAATGTTTCCACGGAATGAGGCGGGAATCGTGCCATTCTTGATAAATGGTGGCTTTGAGGGGGAGAGAGGTACTGCGAAGGAAGCCTCGGTAACGGCCCGAGAAGGAGTTTCCGTCGATGTCCGGGAGGTATTTGTGGGAGTATTGTTGTTTCATCGGCATGGCTTTTTCCACGAGGAAGTAGGGGTCGGTGTAGGGGCAGGTGGGGAGGTCGTTGTTGGCTGGGAAGCAGAGGAGGTGGACCACGGCTGCGTCGGACCATTCTTGGACCCAGTCGCTGAAGGCTGTGGGTGGGGCGGAGGGCTGCTGGACGGCGAGGTCGTAGGTGTTGTTGGCTGGGAGGACGAAGTTGAGGGGTTTTTGGTCCGGGTGTTGTTCGTATCGTTTTATGTTGGTTGCGTTGATCATGGAGACGAAGCGGTGTCGTTGGAAGCGTGTCCAGTTCTCGGCTTTGTTTCTGCCTCCGCTCGCTGAGCCTCGCCAGATGAGTCGGTCTTTTTTCTCTTTCCATACACCGCCGTGGTCGTCGCCCCCGGAGTAGAAGGGGTCGTTGGTCCAGTACATGGCCGGTGGCAGCAGGATCTCGTTGTTCATGGGAAGTTTGGATCCGCCGAACATGGGGAAGAATTTCCGGGAGTTCGAGATTGAGATGGGTTCTACGAAAGTGCCGTGTAGTCCTTGGAGGGAAGGATGCTCGCACGGGTCTTGAGTAAACGTCCAATTCTGTACGTATCCGTGGAAGGTGTTCTTTGGAAAATCTGTCGATAGGGGCGGAGGTCGTGTGAAATCCGTCTCGATATACGCCTTTCGAGCGGGGCTGTCTGGTGGACATCCTACTACCGCCATTGACCAGTATGGACCCTCACCAGCAAAGGCAGCATCAAACTTAGGCGGCGCATGTTTGTCCAAGTCTCGTAGATTTCCAAAGGTTGTCTTAAGCTCCGACGAAGGCACGATCTTCCTGCTTGCTATTGACTTGGCCATGTAACCATCAATCTCCTCAAACGGCACCACTATCCGGCTTTCATCCATGACATTGATTGGTAGATCAACATCTGGTAGCCAAGGTGCTACACTCTGCACCATGTCTCTCCACAGCTCTATCCATTCCCGCCTCTCTATATCTGTCCTCCCTGTCGCGTTGCCATGCCTGACCGATATCCGATGTATGAAGTCGTTCGCCTGTTCACGGATCTGCTTAGCCGGAACGCCCCAGAAAGCATTCAAGTCATCGTATATGCGGTCGAAGAAGTCCTCCACTATGATGGCTGAATTGTTCTTGGAGTACTCAAACCACACATGGAACAGCGGAGGTGGTTGTCTTCCGCGGCGCTTGCGATACGCTTCTGCAGCACTGTGCACATCCTTCGTCTCCTTGGCCAAGATGGCCTTGTACTCCTCATCGGCCTCGCGCGTGAGCTGATCGATTGGATGGTTGCGCTTGGGTGGAAGCTTGATCGTGGGTGTCGTGGAGCTGGGATTGGACACGTGTGGTACGCCGATGTGCCTGGGCAGACGGTATGAAGTGGGCACCAAGAACCATGCGATTCCGATGAGCACGGCTACTGCAATGGCAAGCTGGACGAGACGGCTGTGAATGGAGGCGGCGGAGATGAGCATGGCGGAGGAGGACGCAATACCTAGGGCCCTCTCTCTACGACGGATGATCTGGCTCTCGTGGTGCTCTGCGACGGCGCATGGCTCGAGACGGTCGGGTGGTACCGGTCTGGTCTCGAATTGATTGATTCTTGTAGCGACGTTACGCGGAGCCCAGCCAGTCTTGTGTCCCCATCACCCCATGGATCTCACTGAATAATTTTTGTAGGACATCCATGGTTCGTCCTCGGCCTCGGATCTGCTGCCGAACCCTCTTGCTTCACAACCTCGCGTCGCTTTCACGCTGCTCTCAACATCTCTTCGCATACATCCCACATCGAAACAGCTATGCACAAAGCAATACTTTTCCGACCGCCAATGCTCTTCAACACATGTCGAGAATGAGCTCAGCAACTCGGGAAGCCTGAGAACTGCCTGCGGGCATACGAGGAAACGAGATCACAAGACATTGAGAGAGCGCATTGAAGAGGACTTTGGCATCTCTATCGCTGCGACGACGGTCCAGAAAGGAATGGTCTTGTCGCTCATCCGCAATCGTGGCCTTGCATCCCCGGTAGGCCTGCTCCGAATCCAACTGCTTGGTATTTCGGAATTGGTCAGCCATAATGGAAGAATGTCCTCCTTTGCGCGAAGCATGCCCTGCGCATCGTTGAGCATGCATCTGACCCGGGAGAAAGGGCAGTGTGCGTGACAAAGACTGCTTGTCTGAGATGCCCAGGATCGCATTGTCTGCCCAGGAATAGTGTCTTACCATCTTGATACAAAGAAGTGCTTGCGTACTGAAATGAGCTCGCACTGCCAGTTTGGATTTCCGCAACAACAGCAAATTTCCCATTCTTCTCTTGCAAATCGCATACGAGCTGGTCTCGCAATGTCTCGAAACAACCAATACGACTCTATCGGCGCAAGGAACCATCCTCTACACAGGTCGAGCATCCTGAATCCTGCGCCGTCTTCAAAACGACAAGCCTCATTGACGTCTATGGACGACGTCAAATTTATGGAGCATGTACCTGCAAAGGATGACAAAAAGCTCAGGTCAGAATCATGCAAGCCATCGACACTTCGATTTGCACGCAAGCCAAAGCAAGCATTGAGCGTCTCATCTCAAGATTCGTCCATCGTAAGGCCAGCCACAGTGCATGCGATTACTGGCACAATCGACGAGTTTCTGGACGATGTTAAATGCAATGGATATGTCCTGCCCTCTACGCAATCCGACATTGGCCGGCGCCTGTCTCGGCTTGAAGATCGAGAACACATCCTTTCGCCCATCAGTGAGACTCCAGAGTCGTATCCTGGCGGTTTCCAGCCAATGACACTAACCTATAGTCTACCAAAGGTCAACAGCGCTACAAAACCATCACTATCAGAGCCACCAAAGGCTTTGTCGGTGCAACGAAAGCAATCGCCAAGCGCGGTCTGGTCGAAGCTTGGCTCACGAGCCTATCACTTCATCGGCGAAGACAGGTTTGTGCACAAATAGCTGCTCTCCTCAGCTTCAAGGTAGGCAAAAACAACTTTGAGTATCATCACAGGCACCTTTCCAATCTCACTTTTCTTTTACTTTGATGTTTGCATGTGCTAATGGCAAACCCTTTCCTCACTTTTAGCAAACGCCGCAACATGCTATAGGTCGACCGCCGCTCACTTCCTTCACATGATGAATGCACGGTTCACTATGATTTGTTCTCACATGTATACGTTCTGCCGCTATGGTATACTCTCTTCCATTTGTCTTGCCACTTTCTTTTACATTCATCACCACCACAACATCTTCCGGCCAACATCGCTTCGCCTTCTAAAAAACATACACATACTAGCCTTCCTGCAACGCCTTCGACACTCGGCCCTTGAGCTTCGACCTTGCATTTTTTCCAATTCACAGCATCCGACTCCGTCACAATGGAGATCGTTACCGCGACTGAATGGACTGCTATCGCGACTAGCACAGTATACTCGCCGCGGCTTCCTACAACACCGCCCGCCTTCACTCCTGTATTACCATCTCATGCTACTTCAGCCACAAATATCAACGTGCCAATGTCTGGAGCCGCCATCACAGTTACGGCATCGGTTCCAACAGCAATTGAGACAGTACACATGCCGGCAAGCGAGACTGCAAGCATTCTATCTAGCTCTTCGGTCGCTATGGGTCCTACGCAGTCAAGTTCTAGTCCAACTACTGCGAATCCCGCCACTCCCTCGGACTCACTCGCCGAAGAAGGTTCCACGCTCAATAGCCTGAGTGGTGGTGCGATCGCTGCGATCATTGCCTCTGTCTTTGGTGCTTTTATCATCTTCTTCATCGCGCTGGTGCTGTGGCGTCGATTTGGGAAGAAGCGCCAAAGCAAGGAGCAGGAGGAGGGAATAGAGCTCGGTACAATCCACCGTGCTCAAGGACCAACCCCGTCAGACCAGAGCAAGTCTAAGGCGTCGAACTTCTCTCAGCGACCTTACGAGCCCGAAATCGAAGGTAAGAAATCTTCTCCTCCTACAGCAGAATCAAACTAACATTGCGCAGAACACCCCTCCCCACTGCTCCCATCGCCAACACCTTTCGACTACACTAGCAACAAGACCGTCCAGCGCGTCCATTCGGATCCCGTTTGGGATGACAGCATGGGCAACCCTTACGCCCTAAAAGGTCTTCCATCGACACCTCCCGTCCCACTCCGCCACCCATCCCGGCCCCAAGGTTTCGGAGCGACGGTGATCCCAAGAAGTCCTGGTCCAGTGCGACCTGCCGATCAAGGATTCGACTTCGGTCTGACTAGGAAGAAGGATGATGGATTCGAAGAAGCACCAAGGAGGGATGCAGGAGAGACGGAGAGAGACATGGGCGAGGCAGAGAGAAACGGAGTCCGTCCAGGAAGATGGTCGGCTGCATCCTCTATGTATTCGCAGGAGAGTGTTCGTGGGAGCGAGGTCGGGACTTGGAATTTTTGAATCCATGTACATGTATTGGGAAGAAACATGCCGTTGATTATGACTTTTCATTCCTACATTTATGCCTGTGGTCTCCGGGTCGCTATTGATTCTAGGTTTTCGTGCTCCATGTCTGAGCTTCCTAGTTATATCAAAGACGAGGAGATGATGAGGTGTGAGATACACGAGATTTTAATTTCTTTGATATGGTGCAGACGACGGGTTTGGAGTCTGCTGAGCCATGATGCTATGAAAGAGAAATGTAGAGTGAGCTGGACCTTGGCTTATACTTCTTAAATCATGATTAGGTTCTCCTTGAGTGAGCCCTGTACAATAGTTTCACAGGCGTTACGAGGATGTTAGCTACGAAATTTTGGTTCAGAGCTAAGGTAATCGATCGACATTGAGTGAAGTGACACAGCTCTCACTTCCTTCTCCTTACTGAGCACGTATCACACTTTTCATATCCATCAGCTGATCGCTATCAACCTCGTTCAAACGAAAAGGCAAGCCTTCCTCCTTTACTGTATATGTCGTCTCTGTCGATATCCCAAAACCGAGCCTCTCGAATTTCAACTGGCTCTCTTTCGTGATGTTTCTCTGTAGGAGCGGTTGGCTATTTGAGGATATTCAGGACAAGTTTGCCAGATCCGCGCTCCTTTCGGTGGAGTGCACGCAGAGTCTGGCGCTGGTAGGGAGTAGTGCGACATTGATTGGAAGGATTGAAATTTGAAGCGATGTGCCCCGAATATGAAGGACGCGTGAAGAGAAGCTATTGCTAACCTCGTGGGCTCTCTCGCTTGCCAGTGTTGATGCTGTTCGTGCGTTTGTTGGTCTTGTTTAGTGAGATGATGAGATCCTGCAAGAGGAGAACAGCTATTGTGTAGACGGGAGAGCTCAGGTGACGGTGCTTCTCAGCAAGCGGGTCCATGTAATCACCGCGGTGAGGCATATCATCACGAGTTCGCCATCCCACAGCAACGCATGCCTCTGCAAAGCTATTGGCTATTGTAAGCTCGCCATTGTCGAACAACAATGCACGAGGGCTGTCTTCCTGAATAGCTCTCATTGTAACCTCACCATTGTCCTCTTCCATTCATAACATTGTCCCATTCACCGCATTAGCCTTCACCAGGCTTTCTTTGTGCACTAGAAGAAAGTGTTAATAAAATCCACTTCCACACACACGAAAGTATTTCCTTTCGCACAGCATAGAAGACTTACACGAACAAATTGCTCTGGAAGCAATCAATCCCGAGAGAAAATCTTCTACACAAGACCACATCACCAGAATGTCATCATCAGACGACGAAACCTTCACTACCCTGCGCACCACATCCACGCGCTCGCACACCACCACCGTCATGCCTACAGCAACCACCATGACCACCTCAGTCTACCCCTACCCATCACAAGCCAAAGCTTCCCTCGAGACCTCCGCCGCAAGCAACAGCAACACCACGAAGTTAGAGCAGAAACTAGATTGGTACAAAACGTATCATCGCAACTCCGCAATCGCTTTCTCCGTCCTCGCAATCCTGATCGTCGCTTTCATCGCTTTCAAAATCTGGAGGTTTATTCGTCATCGGAAGAAGAATGCTATTAATCGTGTTGATGATGCTACGGGCGGGAAACTTGAGAGGACTTGGTATGGGAGAGGGGCGAAGAAGGTTGTTGGGCGTATGATCTAGGCAGCCGAAGGATTGTGAGAAGCGTTACCTATTTGTGGCGCTGGTTAGTATACAGTAAGTCCAATGAACAGCTTTTGAGGCCGTTTCGATGTTTCCATTTTCATTTTGCTTTTCAAGATTTTGAATTCTGTCTGGCGCCCGTACTGTAGTTTTGATGGGACCGCGTTTCTTCGTATATTAGCTTGCCTGTTTTGCCGATGCGCTTGCAGGAGAACCTTTGCTGCAATGCCAAAGGCGATATTCTCGACCGGAGCTTGGACATGTCAGCCCCGTAGCGAGTTGATGTTGTGTGTCTCTGATATTGGTCTGCATTGCCTGGTCGAGTTTAGATGGATACCGAAGAGTGGCATTTCTCTGACCCTTAGTACGTCTCGATGATGTGACCATGAAGTGGCCACTGTGAAAGATCCGGTTGTGCCGCCCGAGACATAAGGTTCTCAGGCATTCAAACGACAGCGACAAGACTCTTGCGACTCGCGGGATGATGCGTGGTGACTCCATAGCCTGATTACCGGGAGCAGATAAGAAGGCCTTTAGCTGCTTGCTTCGCCCTATAGCCTAAGCTCGAACGGCCCTGAGCAAATGGAAATCCTTGAAGCTTCACCTTGTTCAATTTATCTGCTTTCCATGCTCCTGTAGTGAGGTTCCTCTAGATGGCACTGTTGCCTCTGGTCCATTCTCGACAGCAACGCGATCACCTTGTCGTCACCTTTCTTTGTTCGGCTCAGCGAAATCTAGGTTCGCGAGCGACCTGGTTCGGAGTTTTGGCTTTTACTCTGCAAGGAACGATCGATACGCAGCGAATCACAGTCCCTTGCAATGCATGGCGACACGACTTTGCAGCTCGGTTTCGTTTTCATGCTGCCATGCGAATGTCAGGCAGCGGGATACGAGCCTCTGCTTGAGTCGAGGTGGCAGTCGTGTCACCCAGAATCCTGGACCGCCGGAGGAGCCACGCCACGCTGCCACGTTGTACAGTAAGATGTAGGCGTATGCTTGGCCTCTAAGAACGAGGTGAAGTCGCCGGACAGGAGACGGTGTTTATTCTTTGCCCGTTAGCCGTCCAGCGACGGCAGAACAAAGGAGCCGCAATGCACGCTACTGCACGGGGTGCCGTGTTGGAGAAATGGTGACGAGTTGGCGTAGCTCTGCCGCAGCAGGATTGCCAGATGTGTTTGTAATCGATTCTGTGCCTCGTCATGCCTTGTTGTGGTCGTATTGAGGAACTTGCCAACGCAGCATGAAACGTAGGAACACAGAGAATGCATAGAATTGTCAAATAGGAAAAAAGGTGAGCTTTGTCTAGGACAGGGCGATAAGAATAGGTGGGCCGATAGGAGAAAGACCAGTCGGCAGCTGACACTGGTCCTTGCTCTTTCAAGCCATCACATCGATTTGTTGGAAATCAACCACGGACCTACTACCGAGCAACTCCAGGAGCACAGAATTGGTTATAGTTACTGATAGCCGTGATTCCATTCTCACACTACCATGCTATCTATCTCTCCTCTACTTTCTGCAGTGTCGCGTAGAGCGATAGGAGAGCTATTGTCGCTTATCGAGCGTGAGCTAATGTAGTCGTCACCACTGCGCGGGACTGCAATACCGACCTTGCTATCGGTACCAGGTGGTGTGTGTCTGGCGCTCGATCTATTTCGCGGGGATCTGGAAAACGTAGAAACGCAAGGACCAGTGGAGAGCGGCCAGAGGTCAGCAAACACACGTGGGACTACTACATCATGGATACCAGCGAAGCAGCTTTCGAGGCCGGTGTCGAGCTGGACTCCGAGGCACTTGCGCGCGAACAACAACAGGCGAAACAGAAGAAGGCGCAAGAGGCAGCAAAGCTTGCGACACCTGGTATCAAGGTGAATCAAGTGTCAGAACAAGAACTCGCAAGCGAACGATCTCCACTTTTACCGCGATCGCCGGCGTCGAACGATGGAGAAGGAGAAGGAGAAGAGGAGGAGGAGGAGGAAGAGAGGCGGCCGTCGTGGCCGGGGAGCATAGAATTCGCACATTTGCCTTGGTACAGGCGACCATCGATATGGTGGGTTCTATGCCCATTCTTCATCATGGCTTGCGCATTTGGTGGCATCATTGCGCCGAAGATGAATTTGATCTTGGATTTGGTGTGTCGAGAATACATTGCGGAGCGATCGATGGTGCCTGGATTTGCCATGGCTCCGGTCGATTTCAACGGTGGCGACAATGACCAGTGCGCCATACCTGAGGTGTCCGCGAGGACGTCGATGTTTTACTTGTGGGGCTCCGTCATTGCTGGAGTGTTGTCTGCTATCAGCGCTCCGAAGCTGGGCGCACTCTCGGATCGCTATGGACGCAAGCCGATTCTTATCGCTACGAGTCTTGGAACGATCTGCGGCGAGATCATCACCATCTGTGCGGCAACTTTCCCGACCAAGTTCCCAGTCTGGGTGCTGCTTGCCAGCTATGCTCTGGATGGACTGACTGGATCCTTCATGCTGGCCATGTCCATCGCGAATGCCTATGCCACCGACTGCACGCCGCCGAATGTACGGGGCGTCGCATTTGGATATTTTCACGGATGCTTGTTTACCGGCCTCGCACTTGGACCTATCGTTGCAGGTTACATCGTGAAGTGGACAGGCAAGATTGCAATCATATTTTGGGTTATGGCTGGTGTGCACGTCGGCTTTGTCTTGTTCATTGGACTGGCAGTGCCGGAATCTTTGTCGAAGAAACGACAACAGCTGGCACGGGAGAAGCATGAGGACCTCATGTCGCAGCGTGATCCGAATTCAGACTGGATCAATCAACTGCGTTCGCTGAACCTGCTTGAACCTCTCCGCATTCTTCGACCCAAGGGTCCTGGAAGCAGTCGAGCTCTCCGACGAAATCTTCTGGTGCTCTCGGCTGTCGACACCATCGTCTTTGGAGTTGGAATGGGCAGCATTGCTGTCGGGATCATATACGTGCGCCAGCAATTCGGATGGGAAACATTTGAATCTGGCAAATACATGACGATTGTCAACAGCAGTCGAGTGATTTGTCTGCTGGTCGTCCTGCCATTGCTCACTCGCCTGGTGCGTGGGAAGGCTGATCAGCTACGAAGCAAGAACACGGGGTGCGACAACTTCGACTTGTTCATTCTTCGATTTGCCATCTTCTTTGATGTGTTGGGATATCTTGGCTATACACTTGCTAGGTCTGGTCCAGTATTCATTCTTTCTGGAGTCATCGCTTCGGTTGGTGGCATTGGATCGCCAACCCTACAATCGGCACTCACGAAACACGTGCCTCCCGATCGTACTGGACAACTGCTCGGGGCCATTGGACTACTGCATTCTCTCGCGAGAGTCGTAGCGCCCGCAGTCTTCAGCGCCATCTTCGCCGCCACCGTAGGCAAATTTAACCAGACGGTGTTTGTGTGTTTGTGCGCCACGTTTTTCTGCGCTTTCATCGTGAGCTGGTTCATCAAGCCTGGAAGTAAGTCCACGTTTCTACTATATACGACTGCTATAGCAATGCTAATCTATCTGCAGTCTTCTACGACGAAGACAAGGCGGAGCACGAGGAGGAGGAAGAGGAGCAGGAAGCACGTCGATACAGAAATAAATTGGCCATCGTAGACGCGGTTGCTGACGTGGGCCGTCAGATTCGAGATTTGGTCTCACGGCGGCGATAACACATTGCCTTGTGCGCTCAGAGTGTATCAGGAGGAGCGGGAGGCGCGTCGCCTGGACAGGAACATTTTTTTTTCTTGCATCGAACAGCATTTACGGTGGGCGTTTTGAGGGTTGTGATACCACACGCATGTATGCGATATGCGATATATGTATGAGCAGACAAGCGGCCACGCGGGCCATTTCTACCAGCAGCATGATGAATGCACGACTGAGACGCAGAAATGTGATATGGCCATCAGCATCCCGTGTCAGTAGCCTCTCACACGAGCTTCCGCAGTCGCGGGCGCGCTTTCCTCTGCTTAGACCTGTTTCACGTTTCCTGCGGCAGGCTGACGAGCCAATGGGAAGGCGGGCGGCTTTCCTTGCGAGAGATTCTCGAGAAGGAGAACTGGGCGTGGGCCCCTGAGTCCTGCCGGTGGATGAAGAGCCGCCATGCTGCAAGGAGTCGGGCAGACAGAGAGGAGCGCTGACGACCGCACGCACGCAGCAGCACAGTATATGTATACTGCTGGTGAGGATTGGCTGGTCTATATAATGGGTGAAGCAAAGCAAGACGACGCTGCGGACGGCCTGCCCTGCCTGCCTCGAGTCAGCTTCAACGGCGACGAGGTGAAACGGGCTACAGCTTGAAGAGGCTAGCTTGTCCGGACCCTTGTATCCTCCATCTGGCTTCCACTGCGCTGCAGCGAGGGAGTCGGTCGAGCGACAATTCTTACCACCGCCGACTAAGTTACTACTGCTGGCGTCTGGCATGCTGTGGTGGCCGTAACCTTCACAGGACCCCTCCACCGCACCGCTGCCACCGCACCGCACCGCTCGCCTTTTCCACTTCTCCAGAGCCCGCAATCGCTGCGGCTCTGTCTATTGCTGTCGCCGTTCCGCCACGCCACGCCACGCCACGCCTACGCATCTTACCTCACCTCCGCTCCCCATCTCCACGACTCGAGACGCTCCTGAGAGGCCCACCCCGACCTATATCGCTGCCACATCGAAACACATCGAGTCTCAGCGCCAACCCGTCACAGTCCAGCGAGGCCGGGCGCCTGCCGCCCTGTATCACAAAGCCATTGCTTCCTTGGATCTGCTGAGACAGGAGACTCGCTGTTCCGCTTCGCACGCGAGCACCCCTTCTCTGCACCACCTCACCCACCGCCCTCCACTGTGCGATAAGATTTTGGTGGTGCCCGCCGCCGTCGCAGCAGCACGACACGACACGATAGCCTCCGCACCCGCTGCTGTTCCTGTGCTGTGCACGCTGGCCGCTCTGTGACAGGATCACATCACATGGTAAGCTGGACTTGACACGGGCACTGCATCAACTCATATCGCATTGCACCGCATACCTACCCATCAACTGCTCGCCCGGCATTTGACCACCTCTCCTCGTGCGAGCCGCGCCTCGACGGACCTCCGACCAAAGTCGCTGTCGCTTGTACATTGAGACTGTTGCACAGTCCACCCACACTCCTTTAGTCAAGGCAATCCTCCGGCACTGCCTTCTTACTACGAAACCCTCTCCCCAACTCTAATTGATAATGGCTCCCTCGAACCGCCCAGACTATCACCTGAACCTCGAGGGCTTGCCTCAACTCAATATGAATCAGTCGAGGTCTGCCAACACGTCGCAGGCCAACTCGCCCATTGAGCAGCCTGCAGGGTCAGGCCTCCGCTATCCGCTGGGCAATGGTCGTGCTGGAGCTGGCTCCCCGTCCAAGGAATACGGCAGTCGTCTCTTCCCCAAGCGGTACGGCATCTACATATCAAAACCAAAACATACGTTGCTTGAGCATTGGAGCTAACTTGGCAGCAGCGCACGTGAGATCCAGCAGCAAGAAGGTCTGACGCCGCAAATTTGGGGACCACCCACGACTGGCAGTGGACACTCCACACCACTACGAGAAACTATTCCAGAGTCGCCCGGCAGCGACAGCTTCCCTGACTTCGACGCTGGCCAAGCTACTGGCGGCAGTCCGAACAACTCCGCATCCTCATCCTTGCGAAGAACTCGAGCGGGCACTGTACCATCGCGCTTCCCTGTCATGTCTTCTCTTAATGGCTCGCAGTCTTCGCTTGTACCCAAGTCCGGCCAGCAGACGCCGTCCAGCGCGACATACACCGGCGCGAGCTCGCCTGCCAAGGGTGACACCACCGCCGGCGCCCGTGGCCCGCCAGCAAGCAATGCAGCGTTACTGTCACGCTTGAGAGCTGGCTCCATGCCGCAGCGTACGAGCCTGCTCAACACGAGCCCGTTTGGCAGCTCTCTGTTTGCGAGCAATTGGTTGGCAGGTCGAGAGCGTGCGAGCACATTGCAGAGCATAAGATCCTCCGATGCACCATCCTCGCCAAATGGATCTCCTGCCGATGGCGATGTGAGGACGTTGGACTATCTCGGCCTAGTTGATACACCACAATCTGGCAGGAGTAGTCTCACTCACGACATGCTCATGGGTCAACAGCGAGCGAATGGCGTCACAATTGCCGATCTCGCAGCACTCAACGCTTACAACAACCGCAATACCGCGAACCGCTTTAGATCATACTCGGTGAACGCAAAAGAGAAGTACGCAGATGGTGATGAGGATGAGTTGGATCAATATGAGCAGCTGCAGCAACAGCTGTACAGCGGCACCATGACCCCGACGTCGGAAGCCGCTGCTGCCCAAGCTGCGGCCATTCACGAGGCCGTCAGACAACACAATCTTGAAGTGCAGGCATTTGCCAACTACGCAAGCCAAACGAGACCAAGAGCTCGCACTGCCGGCGTTCTCGATTCGCCATCATCACGCGCCATGCGTAGCTACATGCCCACGCCATCACGCTTGGACAACAGCATCACCGCAGCGGATCTGCAGAGCAATGACGGCTCGGAGTTTAGTGGTCTTGCGGCCGCTGTCCATAACATGAACCTAAATAAGAAGCAGTCCTACGAATGCGGGCTGGAGGCCAACCTGGAGACACCAACCAGAGCGCTATGGTTGGGCAACATTCCTTCTTCAACGACGGTGTCGTCGCTGAACGTGATATTCAGCCAGTATGGCCCCATCGAGTTCGCCAGAGTGCTAACGCACAAGAGCTGTGGCTTCGTGAACTTTGAGAATATTCAAAGCGCCATTGCGGCCAAGGCTCAGTGCAACGGCAAGGAGATCTTCCCTGGATGCGGACCCATCAGGATTGGATTCGCGAAAGAGCAGAGTGCATCGAACACCCCAGGAGCGAATGGCGCGTACCCCTCTCCAAGCCCAGATCCATTCGTCTCGAAGAATCGTATCGATAGCTCGCTCGGGGGAGGTAACACATCCGGCAACATCAATGCTGAGACTGCTGCTGCCGCTCTGATCACCCCGAACTTGCTCGACATGCGTGAAGAGATCTACAACATTGTGGGCGACTTTGGTGCAACTGAGGAGGACCGGAGCCGAATTGCTGAAAGTCTTAAAGAGGCGATGAGCTTCGATTACTACGTTCCCGAGATGCCGCCAATTCAGGAGCCAAGCCACAGCCGCATGCACGACGCTCCTCGTCTGCGTGAGATCAGGAAACGCATCGACAATAATTCGTGCAGTCCGATGGAGATCGAGAACATCGCCATGGATATGCTGCCAGAAATCTCCGAGCTGTCATCGGACTACCTTGGCAACACAGTCGTTCAGAAGTTGTTCGAGCACTGCGCAGAGGAGACCAAAGAAGCTATGCTCACGGAGATTGCACCTCATCTGGCCGAAATTGGTGTACACAAGAACGGTACCTGGGCTGCGCAGAAGATCATTGATGTGGCACGCACACCCTCTCAGATGCAGATGATTGTGAATGCACTCAAGCCCCATGGTGTCAATCTGTTCTTGGACCAGTATGGCAACTATGTCATGCAATGCTGCTTGCGTTTCCAGGCACCGCTCAATAACTTCATTTTCGAGACGATGCTGAACAGGCTGTGGGATGTCGCTCAAGGCCGTTTCGGTGCTCGCGCCATGCGTGCCTGCTTGGAAAGCCACTTTGCTACGAATGACCAGAAGCGTCTGATGGCAGCTGCCATTGCACTCCACAGCGTGCAACTGGCAACCAACTCGAACGGCGCTCTCCTCCTCACCTGGTTCCTCGACACGTGCACCTTCCCCCGACGCCGATCCGTCCTAGCGCCAAGACTCATCCCGCATCTCGTTCACCTCTGCACGCACAAGGTCGCGTACCTCACCGTACTGAAGATTATCAACCAACGCAACGAGGCAGATGCTCGCGACAACATATTGCAGGCCCTCTTCTTTGAAGACCAAACTCTCACGGACATCATCTCTGACCAAGCCTGCGGAGCTACTTTCGTTTTCAAGGTTCTCACAACCCCATTCCTTGACGAGAGCATCCGACCACAATGCCTCGAGAATGTACGCAATGTGCTCGTAAAGCTCAAGGCAGCACCATCACAAGGCTATAAGCGTCTCATGGACGAGGTGGGCATGCCGACTCGACACGGCGGTACACCAGTCAGCCATGATGGCCGCTCCAGCTCAAAGAATAGGCAAATGAATGGTCATCTGCCACATCTCGACACCGCTCAGAACGGTTTTGGTCGATCACCTTACTCAAATGCTCAGCAACAGATGATGGATCAGGGCATCGGTCCCGACCCACAGCGAACCGTCAGCATGGACTCCAACAGCTTTGATCCGTACGTGCAGCAGTACACTCATAGTCCCGCCATGTCTAACGCTGGTATTAGCCCGATCAACCCTCTCCAGTATCAACAAGCAATACTTGCGCAAGGAGGACTTGCCAGGACTCCAGCATTTTATGGTAGCCCAGCTGGCATGACTCCATACGGCGCGGCATCACCAGCTCCGCAACTGGTCGATCCATACAGGCAGAACATGAGTGGCTCGCCAATGATGCCGCCTGGCATTGGAATGCAGACAGGTTATGGGCAGCAGGCATTCGCCAATCCTATGCTTGGCGTCAACGGTGGCCTTAATGGTTACGGATATCAAATGCCGCAGCAATTCTTCCCGCAGGGCCAGGTACAGCAAATGGGCGGCAACCGCAGGGGCAGAGTAAGTGCCATTGATCAACAAAGACGAGCCTTAGGACTCGACTAATGCTCACAGCAGCGTTGAGATCTGACTCTCATGCATGACGGCCGCGACACAAAAATCATTATTCTACACTCACAGTAACGACCACTTGACACTTCCACCACATATTGTCTGACTTAGGCCACGCTTGCAACAGGCCACGACCGCCGACACTTCACATGGGTCGGACCTTCTTTGTTAGCATTTGGAGCGGAGTTTTGTTCGACATGAAACTGGCGCTTACAGGTGGTTTGCGCATTTGCACCTGGAGGAGCTATAGAGCACAACCCGTTCTGATCAAAAAGGGATTTCGGAGAACGATGTTGGCTTCGTTGGCCACATCCTACGCACGACCATGTTCAGCCTTGTCACATGAGCATGTGCTTCTTGGACATTCTTCTGCAAGCGCTTCCCAGCGTTTCTTGCTCTCAAGTGTCGCTCTGCACGGCACTTTGACGATTCACCCTGTATCTTTATCACCATTTTGATGTGTGTGTGTGAAAAGAGTAGGCAAAGGAGGAGTTTGTAACGGCGCTGGGACAGGAAAGATGGGCGGATTGAAAGAGATCTTGTGTGAGAGGGCGAAAATTGATGGACTTTTGACTGAGGGTTCAGGCCGAGGTACTTCTTTCCAGCTGTCTGGCATACATCTATGCACCAACGTGTGTGCACTCTAACGACCAACAAAGCGCTTTTACGTATGTACAACGCTAAGCTAACCTCTTGTTCCGCCTCTTCAGCTGGAATTTTACAGGCTTTTGAGAAGGAGTGTCGATAGAGGATACCGGGAAGTGTTCTTTTGTGACTTGATTTCTTTGCTTGTGTCGTCGTCATATAATGAGATGCACGACAAGCCATGTCCTCGTGCCTTTGAATGCGGTCTGCGTCTGCGGTCTTCGATCCTGGCACCAACACTCGGTCCATCTCGGACCGGGGAGGCGAACTGCAACTCCTGGCGAGACGAGATTCGCGGATAAACTCCAACTATGCTCTATCCTTTCCTTCCCCTCACAAACACGACAGTGGTATAAGCGACCTCGCGATGGATGCTCATCGGCTCCACTTCATGTCGAGAGACGTTTCTACTAAAGCTGAGAATCTCAGCCGCAGTGAAGAGAGGCATTGTGCTACTTGATGAAAGGTCCTGGAAGTTGGAAATATGGCATCTAAAAGCATCATCACGGCCACGTTGGGCATTGCTGGCTGCGTCTCGGCAGGAGGTTGGAGACATGGTTCAAGCAGTAGTGCTATAAATCTGCACATCCCACAAACGGCATCTGGAGCTTCGATCAAGCACACTTCGTCCTTCTCCAGCTTCTCTTTCGAGCCTGCGTTTTGGGTCGAGTTTTTCGGCAATGCGAGTAGCCCGAACAATTTCACACTCAGCGCGTTGAGTCTTCTTCATGAACATGGAGGCAAGCCGGAGATTCGACCTGGTGGAATTACCATGGACAGCATGATCTTCGATCCATCTGCAGGCAACCCAGTCAGGATCACGAATGCAAAAGGAGGAGTCTACCGCACGACAGTTGGTCCGGATTACTATAAGAGCTGGTCGAATTTCCCCGAGGGCACAAAATTCATCTCGACGCTTAATTTTGGTAATGATAGCCTGGATATCGCCCGGGATATGGCGGTCGCCTCGATCAAATACCAGCCGGATCTTGTCAAGTATTTTGAGTTGGGAAATGAGCCGACGAATTATGATCCGGATAGGTGGCAGAATAGTACTGCTAACTACGTCAAGCAGTGGAAGGAGTGGACTGCTGCGATTGATACCGCTGTGAATGCTGAAGCTGGAGAAGCGGTCTCGAATGAGCTTGGAAAGGCCCGCTGGGAGGCTTCTTCGGCGACTACGGATGAGACGCCGCTCCATGTTAGGCCTGCTGATATCATTCCAGCGGGAGTGAACTCTGCTGGGCAAGTGGCGGAGTACAGCATACATTCGTATGCTTTTGCAAGTAAGTCAAACTTGTCGTCCAGAATGCAGGCTTGTGCTTGCTGACTTGGATCTTAGCTTGTGATCCTAAACGATTGGCACTCGCCACTATCAAAAATATTCTAAACCACACCGGGCTCGTGGAGTACGCCGACACCGAGATCGTGCCATCGGCCAAAGCAGCTCTGGATTCTGGAACACCTTGGATCATAGGAGAATTCAACTCCATCGCCTGTTCCGGAAACCCTAATGTCTCTGACACATTCGCACAAGCGCTCTGGGAGGTCGACACAGAGCTCATCTACGCTGTACGGAATGCTTCGGCATGCTATCTGCACCAAGGCGCAACTCTAGTCTTCCAATCGACTACGCAAAGCAATACCGCCGGTGATGACGGATCTCCAGGTTTCTCCACTTACTCCATGTTATACCCTATTACAACTTCCAAACGCGGTCCCCAGCGCGTGCTTCCAGGGTACACCGGTCTGCTTTTCCTCGCCGAAGCTTTCGCCACAGCGGGAGTGCAGATCAGAGCCTTAGACACGCCAACATCACTCAGCAGCGACCACTTTTCTGGCTATGCTTTCTACAACAATGGCACTCTAAGCAAACTCGCTCTCATCAATATGAAGCCATATTATGCAAATTCCACAGACGACTATACAGCCGAGTTCAACGTCTTTGCCGAACAGAAGAGCTATGCACGCTTCGGACACGGCCGACAAGCATATGTCAAGCGCCTCACAGCTCCAACGGTGGATGAAAAGTTAACAGAGAAAGTCACTTGGGCTGGGCAATCGTTCAAAGAAGCCAAGGTAGAAGGAGAGGTTGCCATCGAACGCGTTGGGTCGGACGGTATCGTCAAAGTCCGAGGCAGTGAAGCCGTTCTCGTCTTTTTTGATGAGAAAGAGGTCTGCGACTTGCGAGAGTCAAGCCAATCGAAGTCCTCAGGCTGGCGCGGGCGTTGGTCTTGGTTGGGCGGTAAGTAGAACTGTACAGTACCTTGCAAATATCAACGCGCTTGATTGCATGCATGCGATTGTGCCGCATGCGGCGGCTACTAAGCACTGGTGGCTTCATCGCTCGTCGTATATGTGCACGCCCAAGTTCCAACCCAATACATGTATATAATTGTGCTTAAATATGTATGAGCAAGCCTATCTGCAGCCAACGTTCCACAAAGCGCTGGGAATAGTATGGGGCGTTGGGGCTGTAGCTATTCATATAGCGCTTCAGGCTGCGGCTAGGAGGCGCAGTGCAATCCGGTGTGACTGGGTGGTAGCTCGCATACAATATCACCACAGCACAGCATCGAACAAATCTCCAAGATCAGGATCTTCCCAATCGATCACACAAAAGAATCCGAACTACACCACCAACAACCAAGCCAAAAAAAACCCCCCCATCCATCAATCCATTCACCCACCATGCCCCCAACCCACCTCCTACAAACCCGCGACTCCGACTCCGACTCCAATTTCGAAACCTACCGCCTCATAATCCTCATCTTCGCTATCATAGTCCTCATAACATCCATCCTAAGCTCAATTTTCGTCTACCGCGCTCGAACAAAAATGCTCGAAAGAAGGAAAGCTTTGGGATGTCATTGCTACGATGATCTCAGTGCTTGTTGGACTCCTTGGTGGTATTGGGCTTTGGCCAGATGTACTTGTGATGATGGTGGAGTGAAAGGAAATGGCAATAATGGGAATAATGATGTGCCGTTGACGACGTATCAACGGACGTCGCTTCCGACGTATCAGCAGAGTCAGGAGGAACGGGGACGGTATGGGGTGCCGGTGAAACGGGATGCGGGGAGGGAGGGGTCGTGAGTGGGTTTGAAGGACTTTTTCTTCTTCTTCTTCTTTTGTTTGGATGGTTTTGTGGTGTTGTTGTTGTTGTGTTTTTTCCAACTTTCTTGTCACTGTAGACATATTCGCCAAGGTCACCCGGTATCTTCTGGATGCTCTAGGAAATCGATCGCTGAGCCACCCATTGCACCCAAACACACAACAAGACATGCCCTGATAGTCAAGAATAGGAAAGAAAGGCTGGAAAGAGCAACAAGAGCTTCCACGACATCAGATTTGTTGTCGTGCCTGATGATGCCGCTAAGGCTCGTCAAGATGGTGTACCGAATGTGATCCCTGGATTGCCCACTCTCAGGAAGTATTCTATGGTGATGATGGATCTCGAGCACCATATGGAAGCTGAGGCGGGTCTTGAAGTCATTGCTGGGAAAGCTGAGGATGAGAATGCGGGTTTTCAGACTATTGGTCCGATTATTATGAGACCGCCTCGACTAAGAGACCCGGACCCAAGTGAAGTTTTTTCTTCTTGGTGTGGTGGTTATGTATTTGTACGATTGGGAAGGCGAATATAAAATAGAACGATGATCTAACAGCAGCTATAGAGACTACGTACACGGACGGCATCACTTCACGCAGCATCGTGGCAAAAGCCTCGTATGAGCTCAGAAAACGTATACAATGGATCAATCACCGCAACCTTGACTTATTACCGACACTCTCCTTACCTCTACTCTCTTCAACTGCATCGATCTTCTCCCAACCATGCCTCGCCAACCAATCGACCCCAAAATCTCTCGTCCCTTCAACCCACGCCCAATCGACGACAACACAGATGCAAAATACCGTTGCATCAACTACGAAACTCACGGATGTCCTTACTGGATATGGGAACCTGCCGCAGTCTGCGGGAAATGCATAGTACGCGGCATAATCTGAATCTGATCCTTACCATCGATCAGATCCAAAAAAATCTGACACAGTCTTTCTATAACAGGGATTGAAGAGATGTATCCATGAACCGAAATTCTAGTTATGCGAGAAATAATCGGATTGATGGGGAGTTGTAGTAAGAAATAGGATTTGAATTTGGACACTGATTATGAATTTGGTTTTTCTTTGCCGTCATCTTCCCTTGCTTATCGTCATCGTCATCGTTCAAGACATTAAGAAGTACATCTAGCCAACCAAATAGGGATATCGAAACCTAACACCTTCGCTCAAAATGACAAAATCCTTCCCTTTCCTTTCCTTCCTTTCCTTTCCGGCCTACACCATAAATCTTGCTCTCCAAGTCGCAGCCGCAGCCGCAGTCTCTGTGCAAGTCTCAGTAGCATAAGCGGTGGTGTATGCCGTAGCGATCTCAGTGACCACAGGAGGTGTAGGCTGAGCATCCTTAGCCGGAGCCGAGTAGGTAGCAGTAGGAGCAGGAGCCCCAGGATTCGGAACAGGCTCGACGTTCGAACCAGAACAGATCCCAGCCTCCTGCAAATTCTGCAACCAAGCGCCAGAATCGAATTCCGAGTAAACCGTACTGATTTGGTATGGGTATACAGTACTATCAACAGCCTTGACGACTTCCATAGTAATCAACCCGATGACGGGTTTCGCATCAGTGAGATTGACGGTATTCGTGGTTTTCCAACGGATTGTGACGGAGTTGGGATTATACCAGAGATTTAGCTGTTCGAAGTTGATGGGAGGTTGTTCGCCTTGACCTTGCTCGAATTGGGCGCGGGTGGAGAAAGTTGCGGAGAGGAGAGGGAGCGGTTGGGCTGAGGGGCCTTGGGGACAGGAGTTGATTAGGGTGTTGACGCCTTCGGAGTAGTCTGTGAAGTTGGGGGTTAGGAGTTGGTTGGCGAGGTCGGTGGAGTATTGGCGGATGAGTTGGCCGTAGCCGGCGGCGACTGATGCGGCTTCGGAGGCGGTGAGGCCTTGGTCGTGCCAGTTGCCGTCGCGCTTGGCTGGAGCTGCGAGGGAGCCGATGGCGGCGAGGGAGATGAGAAAGATGGAAGTGTAGGAAAGCATTGTTGCCTCTGATGTTGCTGGAGGAGGATGAGGATGATGATCAGGTTGAGTGAAAGTATGTTGTGTGATGTGTGAGGTATTGATATGCAGGTGGGTTGTGTAGATATATACTGTTGGAGTCTGAACGAGTGACCCTAGGAGAAAATAACGAAAGGCTCTCAGAGACGCTGATGGTATTGCTTAGTTCCGATGTTGGATAATGATCTTGGTCTCAGGGCTTCAGAATCTTATACACCACCGGTCTCGAACTACACTCACTGTCAGATGATCATGATCGTCATGACTGGTTTGGCGTTCATGCAAAGGCGGTGCTGCTTGCATAGATTGTAAGCGCTGCCACGATCCTCACGGCTGAGCATGGTATTCCTGGAGGGCAAGGCAGGCTAAGGCGTTCCATTGTTCGAAGGAATGCAGCAAAAGACAAGAAGTTGATGGAAAGAAGGTAAGATCGGCTAAGCCGCCGAGTGAGATCTTGACTGACAAGCGAGCTTACAGATGTTTGGAACTTTAGTCTTGGCCAAACTTAGCAACGCCAAGCTTGACTCAGCCTTCACATGAGGATGCGCTAGTACTGTTTTGGAATTACCATCAACCACTTGCGGCGATTATGTGCTTAAGGGAGAAAAAGATCAGCGGAGAACAGTGGAGAGCCATGCTTTGACAGCGAAGAAAGCGGCTTGCCATGTGCAGTACACGAGGTTGCAGAAAGGCGTGGCAATGACTAGTTGGCTAAGCCGGATTTACGGTTTTCGAGATCTTGACATGAGCACGAGCAGAGCGTTATCTACCTCCACTTAGTCGCTCCGTAGATGCCTCAGGTTGGCGAAGCCAAGGCTCTAGCGGAGCGCCTAACGATAACCTAGGCAACTCTATCACTAGATAACATTATTTCTAACCTTATATATTATATAGCGACACAACTACGCTTATTTTATATAGGACAATGCGAAAATGGACCTCGAGCGCAGCGCAAAAAATTACATACCGCAGTTAAATTAATATATTGTCGAGAACTTATAGCTACAGAAATTATATACTTTCTAACCTATGTATTAGAATATATTAGTAGTTCGAGTCGCTATCGAAGTGCTATAGAAAAGATACTAACACTACCACTTCCAATACTAGTAATTAGTAATCTACGCCTTCTTTATACCGTAAATCTCCTCTAAGTGTTGTCTAAGTCATTAAAGTAATACGTTGCTATAGTATAGGCGCCCGGACTAAGATAGCCAAAATCCACCTTTTTGAATATATAGACCCTAACACTTCTAATACGCACATTCTAGCACTGTCTAGCGCGACTAGGCACACTCTAAGACAGTGTTGCGCGTAACTGTTTTCAACCTCTTACGTATAAAGCAACCTATTTATTCCCGCTAAATATCCGCTTCTAATATCCGCAATCGAGTCGCAACGACACTATCTCGGACACCTACGCATACCTATACACATACGTACGCGCATTAAGTAAGCATGCCGAAACAGAGCAAGGCTTAGAGGGCCGCCGCCGTCGCTAGTAGATCTAGAAGAGGTCGAGGTCGGCCGAGGAAAGACGCTACTACTACTATAGCTAATAGCAACCTAGCTCGCCTTCTAGCTAGCATATCCGCAGTATCTTATCGTACGCGCCTAGAAGGTATTAATACAGCTGTACCTTTGCCTAATAACGAGGCGCAATACCTATAGCATTTTATAGAGAGATGCGCCGATATTCCTAATATGTTACTATAGCAGCTATAGTAGGTAATCTACGATACAATGCAGTGCCCGCAATTAGTCGACGTCTAGCGCGATATTATCGAGGCTAGTATACGCCGCGTACTAAAGTAGATGCACCTAGAGCGCGATTATTCGCCGCGAGACATCTAGGTCGATAGAATTAACGCAATTACCTTTAGATAGTCGGATGCGCTAATCGCAGTACGTACTAGTAAAGGCAAGAGTATAATCTTCTAGTCCTTCTCGGTTTTAATAGGGCAAACTACGATCGTAATTAGCCCGCTTATCCGCCTCGAAGAAGAACAGAATACAGCTATTAAGGCGCTTAATAGAGATATTAAGCTAGTAACCTCGATAGTTATTAATGTAGATACGAAAAAGCTGGATCTAGACTAGTATAAGAAGATTAAGGATAGCAAAGTCTAGTACATTATTATAGGTCCGGAACAGGCTACATTGCTAGAGTTTCGAGATCTCCTCGCAAAGCCGTACGTTCGCCGCCGCATTAGTCTTATTGCGATCGATAAGGTATATCTAGTTAAGAAATAGAAGGACTTCCGTACTGCCTTTGCTGCTATTAGCTAGCTATGCTCAATCGTACGCCGCGATACTGTCTAGCTTAGTATGTCTATAACGCTATCTATCGAGGCTAGTATATAACAATACATCCTCGATAACGCCGGCTTTCGCGAAGTTGGCCTTACGCTATATATAACGAAGATTTTCCGTAGTAGTATCGACCGTCCGGACATTACCTATATCGTTAAACCCCTTCTCTTTAAGGAGCTCGGAAATTATAAGAGTCTGTTCTTCGCGATTGTACGTAGAGTAAAGGACGGTGAAGCTACTCTAATAGAAATTAATAAGACTATTATCTTCTAGGACGCGCGTATACTAGTATAGGAGATAGTCGAGTTCCTTCGCAACTGTCTAGTGTATATAACTAAGGACAGCCCGGATTAGAATAAGAAGTATTCTTATAATCCTATCCTTAATAGTAGCGGCGTAGATGTCCGTCTTACTGTCTCCTTCTATACCTCGTATATCGTAGAAGCCGATCAAAAGGAGCGATATAATATCTTTAGTAAGCGTAGTAGACCAATCCGAGTAATAGTAAGCACCCTAGCACTAAGTATCGGCTTAAATGTCCCTAACATTAAGATTGCGATCTAGTTTAAGTTTCTAATTACGAAGGATGTCGAGGATGTAGTATAGCGTGTCGGTCGTAGCGGTCGCGATATTGTCGGATAGGCGTATAGCATTTTCATATTGCCGTACTAGGTATTCGATAATTTTAAGGATGCACCGCCGGGTACTATCTCTATCGCTACAACATCTATCTAAACTCGCTCTCGATAGCCGTATACACCTATGCGCCTAAGCCGTCTACGAGTAGTCGAGATGCTAGGAGAAGGTACAGAGGAAGAAGACGAATTCCCTAATGCCGGTAGTATTATAGACGATAACGATGCCGAGTTCTTACAGTCTAGCCGACTAAAGACCTAGACTAAGGATGATTTAGAGCGTCGCGAGAAGGTACCCGAGCCGTAGCGTCGCATTATTAACTCGCACCTGTTACTATTACCGGGGAATCTCTGTCCTCGTAAGGTAATTAACGCCTACCTCGGTAAGGCTAAGCGTATATACGAGCTATCGATAACTACGCTAGAAGGCCTCTGCTGCAATATCTGCAATCCGGAGGTGTCCGATTTCCTCGATATAGATACTAGAGCTCCTACTAATATAGCGCTATCTAAAGTTACTTCGCCGTAGAAAGGTACTCGCGTAGGATGCGCCTTTCCTTTCGTATATAGTTAGTACGCTAAGTAGGTAGACAAGCTGTTTCCTAATACAAACCGACGCTTCCGGATCGTACTAAGCTTCTTTATACTAGACAAATTCATCTATAGTATATGCGACATCTTCACTTATATAGACTCCGCCGAAGATTAGGCATTAGGTAAAGCGCTAGTAGTAGAGGACTTATACAAAGTTGCTCCTAGTCTTAAGCAGTAGAATGATCTAGACGCTTCGGGTAATAGTTTCCGATAGGATCGACTATAACAGATTATTAATCTTATCGCCGAGTTGAACCGTATCGCTCTAGAGGTATACGTAGCGTAGGAGGAGGCTAAGAAGAAGAAGGCCGATAGCCGCAAGAGCGTAAAGGCTAAGGGCAAGCAACCTAACCGCGGCGAGGACGTTAGTACTAAAGCTAGAGCTAGAGTTAGTATAGACAACTAGCAGACAGTAGATTAGGCGTCTTAGCTAGAGCAGCTACGCCCTTAACGTACCCGCTTACAGTAGCGGACCGACGACTAGGCAGCTATGCGTAAAGCTATTAAGAAGTCCGCTAAGGCTGAGTCTACCCGCAAGCTCGCAATTGCTAACAAAGCTCGTAAAGCCCGTTAGCGAGAGACTGCTATTATAGAAGAAGAGGCTCTAGTAACAAGAAGCACTCGTAACCGCCCTGCCCGTCCTACCGCATCTACATCTACCGGAGATAAGCGCCGTGCCTCTCCTTCTTAAGGCCGTAGAGTCCAGAGTCCACTACGCCCTTTAGAAGCGACTCTTCGTACCGCCGAACAGTCTGAACATCTGCTTAATGCCGCTAGCTTAACGACTCGCGGCGGTCGTAAGCGGAAGCTGTCTAAGCGTAGCGAAGGCTTGTATAGCATAACTAGCAGCAGCCGTGTAGGTAGCCGCGTAGGTAGTAAAGAGGGTAGCCGTAGTCGTTATTCGTAGTCTTAGGAGTAGGAAGAGGAGTAGGTAAAGCACTATCGAGCGAAGCGTATAAAATAGTCGTAGGTGTCGATAGTCGTAGGTATCGTAGTTGAGCTGCTTCTACGAGGGCTGGCGTATAAGAAACTAGCTATAGCCTATACTAGAAATAGCGCTAGAAATGGCGCTAGAAATAGCGCTAGAATTGGCACTAGAATTGGCACTGGAATTAGCACTAGAATTGGCACTGGAATTAGCACTAGAATTGGCGCTAGAATTGGCATTTAATAAGGTCCTTCCTTACCACCCTTCTATTATGTCCTTATAAGCTCGCTAAGTCCTTATCCTATCCCCGGAAAAGTAAGCCGTAACACTACGCTCGATCGCGTTGCTTCTATAAGAGCTAGCGTATAATGTAGGATGCCTAGTTAAGTTGCTTCTACGAGAGCCGGTATATAATGTAGGATGCCTAGTTTAGCTGCTTCTACGAGAGCTAGCGCTAGTTTAGCTACTTCTGCGAGAGCCGGTGTATAATATAGGATGCCTAGTTTAGCTGCTTCTACGAGAGCTAGCGCTAGTTTAGCTACTTCTGCGAGAGCCGGTATATAATGTAGGATGCCTGGTTCAGCTGCTTCTACGAGAGCTAGCGCTAGAATTGGCGCTAGAATTGGCATTTAATAAGGTCCTTCCTTACTACCCTTCTATTATGTCCTTGTAAGCTCGCTAAGCAGGCTCTTCTATTATGTCCTCGTAAGCTCGCTAAGCAGGCTCTTCTATCGTGTCCTTATAAGCTCGCTAAGCAGGCTTTTCTATTGTGTTCTTTGCGACGAGGGTTTGTAGATAGTCGTAGGTGTCGATAGTATATAAGAGCTAGGCGAGAAGCGTAAATTCGAGGAAGCGACAAGGATACCGAGTCCCGCTAAGACCCCGGATTTAGTATAGCAGAGCGCTTGATTAGTGGGATTAAACGTTATAGCTGCTTCCTTCCGCGTATTTACAATACCGACTTTACGACTTTTACGACTTTTATAACAGTATATTACCAATGTAGCGAGATACGCCGATTGCGCGCATTTCTAGCAAATAGCGCTAACAAAAGTGTCCAATACGATAACGACGGCCGCCTTAGGCACTAAGAACCGCCTCCGAAACCCGAGAAGTTACTAACACTAGCGAGAAGTTACTAGCGAGACTAGTAAGACTAGCGAGACTAGCGAGACTAGCACTATACTTATTGTACCGCAGCTATTAGCACTACAATATATACGGCAAGGATAGATACGTAAGGCGATAACATGCATCGAGCGCAAGCACTCTTCGAGAAGCTACGATAGCCCTCTTACGTTAACGCCCTCTATTACTTAGA